TGTGGTATTGTTACTTCTACTCTGTGGTATTGTTACTTCTACTCTGTAGTATTGTTACTTCTACTCTGAGTACTTGTCTGTGACCCTCCACCTCTCCTCGCTGTGGTGATTTGGAGCATTTCCCTGTTGTTTGGGGCCGGTTCCTCCCTGCTGGGTCTCCCTCCAGTGGTGGACTTGACCTTCCTCCATCCTCGTCAGAGAAACAACACGTTCCCTCGTCTCCTCATCTCTTCAGTCCTCCCTCCTAGAGGCACTTTACGTTTCTGTCTCTGCTGCCTCAAACTCTCCCCTGAAGCACACATCTGCCTCCTCCAATATCTCTCTGCACAGCATCCTGCTTACAATAGCAGCTTCTCTTTTATCTCCTCGCCAAGTTTCTTGATCCTGCAGGATCATCTTCGGGTCACCAGAAATATTTGCGGGTGTCTCGTGTCAGGGTAGCCGTGGTTGTGAACTGTCGGCGCCCTTCACGATGTGCTGCCGTAAGCGATAGCCACAGGATGTTATTAAACGCGGTGAGCGCTGATACGCGAGGCTAGTAGGGCCGCTGGAATGGAGGGATCTCCAACGATTGGCGTGCATCTGTGTCAGGCCAAGGTCAGGTCAGCAGAAAGTATTCCTGCTCTCGTGTCATCATTCTCACCCATTGATTTTGTCTCTCATCACATTGTGGGGGAAAATAAGCTCAAGGAGCACTTAAGATATCCGAGAAGCAAGGTTTTAGCAATGTTAAAGGACACAGCTGGTATTATTTCATATCTTTCTTATTGTCAACAAATCCCCTCCAAAAATAAAAGGCCAACAATGAACCATCAAACATTGCCCTGCTGCCACAAGCAGAGAATTAATCACATGATTTATAAGTAAAGGCATTGATATCACCATGTAAAAAACACTCTATTACAAGTCCAGCCACAAAACAGAAGTGATGTTGGCTAAATGTTCATTAAAGTAAATAAATGAGGTGAAATCTGAAAGAATGGATTCCTGCTGCTGATAGCGTCATAAAGCTGCTTCAAGGTACAGTTCATTGAAGATATTTCTCCTGATCATACTACAGCGCAAACACGCCAGTAAGGTTTTGCAGCTGTGTGCAATTTGCTCTTTTTTTAGCTTCAGTTGTCTTTGGGGTGGGAGTGAAGTCATGGGGGGCTTGTTCCATCCAAACCTCCTGAGGCCAATTAAGAGAGAGGAAAAGGAGAGCCCAGGATTTAGGAAAGGAGGGAGATTCGAAGACATTATTTGTTTATTTAATAACCTCATAATACATCATACATGACCAAAATGACATGTAGAGGAGCTTTATTCATTAGTGTTTCATGGCACAGTCGTGATTGAGGGACGGGAGGGACGGGAGAACCAGAACCAGGACTGAGAGGGGCAGACTGTCAGACCCTGCTGCAGTAAAGAGAGAGGTTTTCTAAAGGGACTGTGTTCAGAAACACTACCACTTTAGTCCACAGGGGCCGCCAGAATCAACACAGAATAAAAGTTTCTTGTCGTAGCTTTAAATAGAAGTTCAAAAATATTAGCATCATAATATAAGTTTAATGTTGCAGCAGTAAAGGTGGAGCATTTGAATTACTTAATAACTCTCTGGGTGGCTTAAATTAAATAATGCATTATCATTTATTAGTTGATTTGTGTGTTGGAATATTATTCTAAATCTGCAAAGTAACTAAAAGTTGAATGAATGTAAAGGAGTAAAAAGTCCAGTACTTGCCTCTGAGAGGTAGTGGAGTAGAAGTATAAAATATCATACTATGGAAATACTCTAGTAAAGTACCTCAAAATGTAAGTACAGTGCTTGAGTAAATGCATTAGATACTTTCCACTGCTGCGTACAGCATACACGATGACGTAACAGAAAACAGTTCCACACACATATCTTAGTAATGTCACTGGTTTCCAGCAGGTTGCTTTATTTCCTAAACACTGAAAATGTCCATAAATATAAAGTACGATGACACTAACGGGATGAGTTTCTGTCCTCCGTTATTAAACCCGTGCAGAACAGCCTCTCTCTCTCTCTCTCTCTGACGTTAATAGACGCTATGAAGGAGCCTCACATTCATCTGCTGCGTTTCGATCGTCCCAACAGATCAATTTCATTTTCCTCTTCAACATCGTGAGAATCCTGATGACCAAACTGAGAGCTTCTACCACATCGGAGACGATGCAGTACAGGTACATTTAACTCTTTCCTGTATGGACACACACCTCTTAAATAAGTCATGTTTTGAACTCGATCGGTGGATTGTGGTGAACAGCTCTGTGTGAGTGACGGTCTTTCTGTCCCGGTTGTCTGATCCTCTGCAGGAAAGCTGTGAAGGCCACTCTGGTTCTCCTTCCTCTCCTGGGAATAACCTACATGCTCTTCTTCGTCAACCCGGGGGAAGACGAGATCTCTCAAATCGTCTTCATATATTTCAACTCTTTTTTGGAGTCCTTCCAGGTACGATCTGTCCAATGTTTACTGAGGTAATAAATCAAGAGAGAAGTAGAGTCATTTTCTCATAGACTTCTATACAACCAGAGGAGTCGCCCCCTGGTGGACACTAGAGAGAATAAATCCCCTTCATTAACAAATAAATTTTACACTCAATGTTGCCGGACACCTTCATGGCAACACATCACCAATCACCTTAAAATGACGTTAGATTCAGGCGTTGTTCTCTTTAGGTTGGTTAGCGGAAATCAAACCCGCCTTCATGGAAATCGATTAAAAGTAGAGGAAATGTCAGACTGAAGAAACAAGTTCACAATTCTGTTTGATATCAGGAAAAAATGCATCAGAAATGCTTTTCGGGGACAAACCGAGTGTCATATTATCGTCTGCGTGGGCGTATTTTGGTACACAAGGAAGCAGTAATTGTAATGAGTGGACAGTGTTCCTCTCCAGAGATGATTGAATGGAAGTGTACGGTAAGCTGCTGTGTTCGGATTAAAACCAGATCAGCGTTGATGTGGTGTTTTTTTATTTTGATGACATTTTGTTCCTCTCTTTATCTCCCTCTTCCTCTCCTCACAGGGCTTCTTTGTGTCCGTGTTTTACTGCTTCCTAAACAGCGAGGTAAGCACATTCACATCCGCTTATTATACATATTATATATTGATCAAACAGTTTACGCCCCCCCCCCCCCC